CAATAATTGGAAAAGTAGAAAATAACATAAGTGGTGTGTTTTTTATTGACGGTCCAGGTGGTACAGGAAAACTTACCTGTATAGAGCATTGTTAGCGAACATCAGATCGAAAGGACATATAGCTTTAGCTACAGCAACATCATGTATTGCAGCATCATTACTACCAGGGGGTAGGACTGCACATTCCAGGTTTAAAATTCCATTAGATTTAACAGATAGATCAAATTGTAGAATAAGTAAACAATTTGCACTGGGTATATTGATTAAAAGTTGTAAATTAATTATATGGGATGAAGCCCCAATGGCTAAACGTTCAGCAATAGAGGCACTAGATGATCTTTTGCGTGATCTTATGGAAAAGGATGAACTTTTTGGTGGAAAAGTAATTGTACTTGGTGGTGATTTTAGACAGACATTGCCAGTTGTTCCCAATGGAAGCAAACATGATACAATTGCTGCTTGTTTGACTAACTCTTACTTGTGGCAAAAATTTCATCTTCTACAATTAGATGAAAACATGAGGGCATTACTAGATCCAATTTTTACAGACTTTCTTCTACGATTAGGTGATGGTAATGAAAATTTAGATGAGGATGATGTTACTCTTCCAAAACAAATTGTTATAGAAGAAAGTGAAGAATCAGAAGGATTACATACTCTTATTGAATATGTTTACCCAAATATTTCTCAACATTACACAACTATACCTTCATCAATGAACCGAGCTATCTTGACAACGAAAAATACTTTTGTTGATCGGATCAATGAAATCTTAATACAAAAATTCCAAGGTGAGGTGAAAGAGTATGTTAGTTTTGATGAAACCCTTGATCCAAACGACCAAGGTCATTATGAGGACCTTTTGCATTCTTTAACACCGAATGGAATGCCACCATATAGACTAATTTTAAAGAAAAATGCACCTATTATATTACTAAGAAACATGAATCCTATAGAAGGATTGTGTAATGGTACAAGACTCTTTTGCAAGAACTTTAATAGAAATGTTATCCGGGCAGAGATAGCTTTTGGTGATTATGCTGGGAAAGAGGTGTTTATTCATAGAATTCCATTACAACCAGCAACAGGAGAAGGCTACACAGTGCCATTCAAAAGAACACAATTTCCGGTCAAACTATGCTTTGCAATGACTATAAATAAAGCACAAGGACAAACACTGGACATTGTGGGCATATACCTCAAAGAACCTATATTTTCACATGGACAACTATACGTTGCCCTGTCCCGTGCTAGAAGAATTGAAAGTGTTAAAGTGGTGATAAAAAAATCACAAAATACTCCACACGGCAAAAAAACAAAAAATATTGTATATCAAGAAGTATTACAATGTTCCAAACACAACTAAAGGTATATCTACAAAGAAAACACATGTTGCAAACAACAGACTAAATTAGGTAATCATAATTTCATGTTTTCTTTGAAACTAAGAAATGGATAACAAAGTAAGTATGATATAAATGTATAATATTTACATGATGTTCAACATGTATTTTTCAAATATTATGTTAGCATGTGAGATAATGTGGCTTGGGTGTCAACTGAAGAAGGTCGCTTGCATTGCCTGTTAATCTCCTATTGGTAACACATTTTTAACTTAATTTGCTTAATACTGGTCACTTTTTTCAGGATTTTACATAAGTGTAACTCATCTATTTTATTTTTTTTCTCGTTAATTTTAGATACCTAAAGAACATCAACATTTTACACCACACTATATACAATAATAAGTGGTTTAACCAATTTGGAAATGTCTGCATTTCATCATAAGTTGCCAATCAGATTATGATGGGAATGTATAAGTCTTTAAATAGTTTGTTCAGATTTTAGTTATATTTCACATACATTTTATATTTTTAATTATAAATTTCGTTCAAATGAAAAAGCTATTAACACAAATCAAAATTTTATATATTTAATTCAAAATAAAAATTGAACACTTTTTATATGATTATGAGCAGAGGCCCATGCATTGGTAAGGGTTCCCAGAGTGCAAATATTAAAAAGCACTACAGGCAGAAATAAAAGCGGGTCAGAAACAGGTAATATACATATGGCTACAATGATAAATGATAAGTTCTATTTACAAATGAAAAGTTTTATAATGATTACAAATATGTCAATTCTAATGTATTCATAATATATTGTAGGAACATGATTCAGAATGATGAAGGAAAGAAAATAATTCCTTCAGAAGTGAGAATCACATGTCATAAAAAACACACTTCACGTGAAAAATAGTTAAGGTTAATGAAAAGACAGGTGGTGTGAATTGATCAACTACAGACATCCAAGCAAAATTTCCTGTTTGTTTACGATGTAAACTTTACAACCAGCATATGTATTTTATATAACAATTTGTGTTTACATTTATGTCTATCATTTCAAATATGATCTTATTGCCCATGAATTGATAGCTATTGGCCAAAATTTGAAACAAAATTTTTATACAAACACTAACAAAATCAAATTCAACTAGGGATGAACATTTGGACTAGGACACCGTCCGGAAACCAGTGCTGAAACCGGTCCCGAACAATATTGAACCGATTGTGCAAGGTGTATGATATTCTTAAGGATTTTTGCAACCAGTAAAAACCAGAATTAATGGGAATCAACAAAATCAGATAAACCAACAAAATTGGACTTTATTTTGCTATTTCACGATAACCAATTCCAACATTGAATACACGATAAGAATTAGTAGGAACCAAGCACAAGTAGAACCAGAACCAAAAGAACCTGCACACGGTTCAGTTCTTAATTTTATCCAACTTTGGTTCCCAAAAAAGTTGGTTCAGGCCGTTTCAGCCAGGTAAGTTACTTTGCTCATCAATAAATTCAACAACATTGAATAGCCTCAATAAAATAAATGATACGAACCTTGTTTATCTTTGAATCGAACCAATCATTAAAAAAATATTCAAATATAGATTTAAATTAAACACTGCATTTTTTAAAATTCATAAATAATAATGACGAATCTATGTGGCCACATCTCATAACAGTTGATTTAATCTAACTAATTAAAAAAAAATGGCATGGATAAGTACTTGAAAAGTAAACACACGAATATGATTTATATAATCCAATCAAGTTACAATATTAACTGATAATACATATAATTATACGTAACCAGCCCAATTAAAATACTCAACATGAATTGTCAGGAGACGTCAATGATGTTGCCTTCCGCATAACCGCTATAACCGCGGTTCTTTGAACTTCATTGTAACTGCCCTGCACTATATTAAACGTTTATAACGGTTTCACCATATATTGCATTATAGCATTACAGTGGCACATATGTTTCAGAAACGTATATCAAATTGCGATTCATAAGACGCTTCAGAAACAGGTATGTGGCTTTCGTTTGTTGTGACTGCCTACTAATTTTCATATACTCACAGGGAAGAAACTTTAACTACCAATTAGCAAAATTATTTGAATGCGTATTTTATTTTGAAATCAGACACATGTTCCATTACGTACAACATCATTCGTATGGGTTTAGCCCTAATATGTATACTTCAACATTAATTCAACCAATTATCATCAAGCTTATGTATTACAAATAATGAAAGAAATAAACAATATTTATTAGTAAATATTTTTTTTATATTAATATTAATTGATACCGGTTCATACATTAACAACAATGTTTGCTACACCAAGGATATATACAAATTAATTATTGAATTGAACTCTATATTGAATATAATTATTTACCCATAACAGAAAACCAAAAAATGACAAGAGACTACTACAACATAGTAGACATTACTCCAAACATGAAGAAAAGTTGGACCGTCGAAATTCAAGTTATAGAATGTGGTCATAGACAACTTAGTACCGCAAAAAAAGAATTTAGGAGGCTCATGTTTGCAGACACACAGGTATACCAACATTACATGCATTATATTTTCAATTTGTATGTTAATTCGAATCATGTATGTTACATCAGGGGACAAGAGTGGCGGCCTTAGTCTATAGTAATGACCTTGACTTTTTTGAAAATACATTCACACCATACCATCGCTATCAGATTTCCAATGCAATTTTGAGACTCACGGAACCACGTTTTCAACTTGATTCATATGAATTTTCTTGGACACTAAGCAGACAAACACTCATTGAACCCATCGAAGAACAAACCCCACCACCCCTCACATGCCAATTTCACTTTACCCCATTTAGTGAACTATACAAGTATGCAGATGAAGAAAATTATCTAAGTAAGACATACACTTTGCCCATCCATTTATTTACATTTATAACCACATTGTCACATATACATCTATACCTTTCTAAATGCAGATGTAAGAGGTGTTGTAATTAAATGCTTGCCAATTCAGCATGTCAAAAAGGGATCAGAAACAACTTCAAAAAGGGACGTAATCATTGTCAATGAGGAGTATGTGCAAGATTAACTTCTTAGATTAACAATATGAAATCATTTTTTTAAAATTTATTTATTGTTATTATTCTAAAATTGACAATTTTTATCAGGAAAAAACTTCTAATTCTAACATTATGGAATCCCATCGATGAAATTGAGGGAAATGCCTTGGATAAAATTACCAATACTGGGCCTTTGGTATTTGCAATGAGGGTAAAAATGACAACATTCTATGGTATATTCGAATCCCTTTCACACATAATGCAACTACATATATGCCAAAACATTTACACTAATGATTAACTACATGCAAATCAGGACAATCAATCACTACAAGCCCCAGATCTGCTATTCTAATAAATCCACCAGTGAAAGATGATCTAAAGCTACAAACTGGTATATTCACGATAATAATTACCCATAATTATTTTTAATTAATTTTTTGTAATGCATAGGTACACAATTAACAAAGCAGAAATTAAAGTACTCCTTCGGAATGAAACATACAAGGACACTGAGATTCTGTTGCCACCTCCTGAAAACAAAGACATACTTCCAATAGGCAGGGCAATTATAAAGATGAAAAATGTAAGTAATTATAACAAAAGTTCATCAATTATTCTATATATTCTAAACCATTATTGACTTACCGATTATTTGACACCAGGGTACCCCAACTTGGATAAAAGGAACACTCAGTCTACCTCAACAAGATAGAAGTTTCACACAAACAATATGTGCTAAGTGTTTAAAACCAATTCAAGCAGACATAAACTGGAACATCAAATGCCCTCTTTGTAAAGAGAAATCAGAAGTACAAATCATGTATGCATATTTCTATTAATTAAATTTTAAACCAACTTTCTTTAAACAAAATGATTCTTTGAACAGCTCAAGGGCAATAATTGAAATCAATGATGGAACTGGAACAATTGCAGCAAGCATATCATCACCTGAAATTGAAAAATTAATTCCATTGAACCCCAGTGAAATCAAAGATGTAGCAAAAAGTGTAAGGTTTCCTATTTTCAATACTGTGATTTTTTAATTATTCAAATATTTTCTTTACATTTAATAAATTACATTAAGCAGGAAAAAAATGTACATGATGTTATCGCATCATCAGTTCAAGGATTATCGGTTGTCACATTTGTACGATCATATCTAACATGGAACCAACAACAACAAATCAATAGATTTGTCATTGTCAAGTTGCATAAAGTCCAAGAACATTACACCAAAGAGCAACAAATACTCATTCCATCAACTAAATATGAAAACTTGTCAACAACAAAACCAACCTCACCTAAGCAAACCCAAAAGCGACCCCAACCAGATGTAGGGAAAACAAAAGTGATAGAATCATCATCCGCAGGCACATCGAGACCAACTAAAAGAATGAAATAGGTATGGAACCACAACCAACATTCCATTAATTAGTTTCATGGTTTATTTATGTACACTCACTGCTTTCATTTGCTTGTCACAGACTATTTTACACAAGCTACCAAGTGACTGATGATCATTATCACTTACCAAAATAAAAATAATATTATGTTATTTCGCCATGGTATTGGTATGTTTTTATGTTATTATATCAAACATTATTACATTATTAGAACATTAATTAATGTATGCCTCAACTAACTTCTTTACTCTATAATAATTATGTTGGTCATCTTCATGTTAATTTCGACATTCTAATAGCATAATCACACATTTCCTTTTTCTACAACAAATATTTATGATGTCGATATATATATATATATATATATATATATATATATACACATAAATTCATAAATATATCAATGACTATTGATAATACCTATGTTAATTAATCAAAAATGATGAATATAATACACCCACTCCATTTAGTGTACACTAATTTGCTATACATTTACACATGTTATTTCAAGCTCAAAATTGTGCATTATGAATATCTTTTACTTTTACAGCTTTGAAATTTTTTTACTTTTAACACTCTGAGAACATATAAAAAAAACCATAGATGGCATCAATCTTGCCATTTATTTAACATTTTATAGCATCATACTTATATTCAGTCTTACTATTCAAATAATATTCAATGAGTAATAAAATTTGTTTGATTCCTAAGCTTAACATGATGCTATTTAATCTAAATATTGATTTATCCATTCAACCCACCAAATATAGGAGAATTTGTTGTTATCTTTTTTGAAATTACAGGTTTTCACATATCTATTTTCCCAATGTTGTACTCTTAATCGTGTTCTTGACCATAAGATATGATATGGATTATCATGTCAGTGTTTATAATTGAAATTCTTTTGTTCCAATAAAATATGAATTTTTAACAATTACATTGCATATTTTGTGTTTGCTATGATATGGATTATCATAGTCAAGTTACATGTTATATTGATTACCTCAAGTTTCATGGGAATAGGAATGTACTTTCGTTTGGTTATATAAGATAGCATTGTACTTTCATATTCTTTTGCTAATTTAGGTCTTTTATGTTGAAAATCTACCCATTTATATCATTAAAATTCCAATTTTTTGTTATTACACAATTTGTTCAACAACTATGAATCAAATACCCAAATTACCCTTAAATGTTCATGGTCAAGGCTTTCACCGACTACTACATTGTATAGACTCAAATTTCTAGAAGAAGACTTTTTACCATTCCTATAAAATATTAGATATCTTTCTCTATGTGTGAATACAAATATGTGGAAACTTCGCGCAACAACCAAAAATTTATACATACACCAATATTAAACGCACTTGTAGTAATGATCTCTTACATCCCTCTATGCTTCAGCAATTGAGATTTAATATCAATACAAAACATAATTTATCATTTACCATCTTACTTTCATGTTTTTGTTTTGTTGACATTTTAAAATAGCTTTACCAGTTCAATGTTTTTATTTTTAAAGGTCACATGAATGTAATTTCATTTTGTTACCCATAATTGCAATGTACATCCAATAAAAATTGCTTATTAAAAATTGCAAAATACTTCATTCCAATATACTTTAATCTTTCTAAATACCCAATAGCCACTCTCGGACCGTGCTTAGCACGGGCCTCAAAATGTACCTAGTATATATATAAATTCATGTTACTTAGATCGGTTTAGAATATATTGATCCAATTTTATCTGTCTTTGGTCCGAATTGATTTGATTTGGATTGAACTAAATTGCGGTTTTGTTGAAAAAAATAACAAAATTAATGCGACCGGATTACCCGCTCCCGGAACCGGAACCGCCAGTTCCGGGACTGGTTCCAAACATTTAAGACATGTCTAGAACGGTTCCGGTTCCGGTTCTAACTTTCTAGAAACCGCTGGTTCCGGTTCCGGTTCTCACCAAATAAGGCAGGTACCCGCCTACGCTCATCCCTAACTCCTTCACTAAGTCCCAAAATTCACACGCATTTGAATCAAATTCTCATAGTTCATCATCATCTTGGCGGCGATTCAGTTAAAATACAACTTTTCTGCTACTCGTCAATCTTAATTCTGTGAGTTTTGTCAGTATCTTCTAATTAAATTCTCTTTATCTCCTTGAATTTCTTAGCATCTATTTTGAATGCTTCATACTCTAATAAGTTATTTTTATAAGTTGGTTACCCCTATTAAAAAAAAAAAATCCTTATTTCACCGGATGTACCAATATACCCTTTTAGATAATAAAAACCGTATTCTAACAAATACGACGCGACTCAAACACACAGTCACCTCCATCTTCTCACGTCGTCGGCTCCTCAAGCTCTCCCCTGCTCGCCACCGTATGCCGTCGCCTCTGTGAAACCACCGACCGGAGACCTAGCACGTCACAGATATAGGTTCGTTCTTTAATTTCTGCTTTCGTTCGTCCTTTTTTCCCTGCTCTCTGATGAAATCGAAATCATTGAGTTCAATGTTACCAAATCGACAGTTGTGATATTGATTATCCTAGGTTTTCTCAACTAATGTGGTATGTTACTGATTTGTTTGAAGTTTTCATTTGAAAACATTCTATACTTCCATGCGATAATCCCTTTTTTACACGATAAGATGTCCATTTTACTAAAAGCGATTTCTTTGTCCAATATCAGATTGTGTGAGATGAAATGGAATGAGTAGGCTAAGTTATTTATTAACATCATTGAACATTTTATGTTGTTATTTCTATATTTCACTGGTGGACTGGATGAAACTCTAGGTCTTGATCCAGTACCCTCTGTATTCAATTCATGATTAGAATGTAATAATTTTCGTATATCTTTTATTAAAATTGTTGTTCAGGATGCTGATTCTTCTCACTTTAAGCAGGTGGAGATGAAGAATTAAGTAGAGTAATTTGGTTTCTGCAAGTTTTATGTCTGCAGTCGTGGGTTGTACTTAATTCAGACATATCATCAGAATAGGACACTTTTAGTTCTCTTCAAGATCATCATCTGTTAACACTCCCTGCCAACATTTGAAATGTCTGCAAATCTCTTTAATGGGTCTCTTCATTTCCATTCGGGTACCACAACCCATATGAACTTTACTCACATTTCAGCCCTAAATTACAGATTCAGTCATCAATTTCCTCATAAGAAACCAAAACCTACCACTACCAGATACACTGTTATCTGCAGTTCAACAATTCGACCCAAGAGAAACTCCAAGTCTGTAGAAAACACAGAGGCTCATGATTTAGTTCGAATGCTATTGAGAAATTCCAACAATGACAAGTCATTGCTTTCGACCCTAAACAAGTATGTGAAGTTAGTGAGGACTGAACACTGTTTCCTTCTGTTCGAGGAGCTTGGCAAATCTGAAAAATGGCTTCAATGCCTTGAGGTTAGTCCCTTCTTGAAATTTCCTTCATGTTCCAATTCATTCAAATTCCAGTTTCTCTGACATTTCATTTGCTTAGGTGTTTAGATGGATGCAAAAACAGCGTTGGTATGTAGCAGATAATGGAGTATATTCAAAACTAATATCAGTAATGGGAAAAAAGGGTCAAACCCGAATGGCAATGTGGCTCTTCTCTGAGATGCGAAACAGTGGGTGTAGACCCGATACATCTGTATACAATTCACTCATCACAGCCCATCTTCACTCCAAGGATAAACCCAAGGCTTTATCTAAAGCTCTTGGATACTTTGATAAAATGAAAGGTACAGAACGCTGCAAACCTAGTATTGTAACATACAACATTCTTCTAAGAGCATCAGCTCAAGCGAAAAACATTGTTCAAGTAGAAACTTTGTTTAAAGATCTTGAAGAAAGCATTTGCACTCCCGATATTTTCACATTCAATGGTGTGATGGATGCTTATGGGAAAAACGGGATGATAAACGAAATGGAAAGGGTGCTTGCTCGTATGAAAAGTAATCAGATAAAACCCGACATCATTACTTATAATCTGTTGATTGATTCGTATGGAAGAAAACAAGAATTTGAAAAGATGGAACAGGTGTTTAAAAGCTTGTTGAGGTCAAAAGAGAGACCTACTGTTTCCACTTTCAATTCAATGATAACAAATTACGGGAAAGCACGTCTTCGTGATAAAGCAGAATTGGTTTTTGAGAAGATAACAGACATGGGATATGCCCCGAATTTCATTACCTATGAATGCATGATTATGATGTATGGATCTTGTGATTGTGTTTCAAAGGCAAGAGGGATATATGATAAGATGATAGAGTCTGAAAAGCAAGTGAAGGTTTCGAGTTTGAATGCGATGCTAAATGTTTACTGTGTGAATGGGTTACCTTTGGAAGCAGATAAGCTGTTTGAGAGTGCTTCTAATAGTGGGGTTATTCCTGTAGATTCTTCAACGTATAAACTTTTGTATAAATCCTACACGAAATCCAACATGAAGGAGTTGTTGCAAAAACTATTGAAGCATATGGATAGAGATGGGATTGTTCCAAATAAAAGATTCTTTCTAGATGCTTTAGGAGCGCTTGGGTCTTCAAGAAGTGAATCTAAACCTGAGTATATTGGTTCTAAAGTTAGATTTAATAGGTCAGCACCTGCAACAACAGGTCCCACATCCAACATAGGGAGTTAAATGAGTTTGTGTAGAGTGAGAAAGTTTTCAAAGAAACTGAATGAAGAGCATAGTCAAGTAAAGGTGATCAAGGTGTTTTAATCTGTTTAGAAATCATGAGGTCCTGATAATTGAAACAGAAACCCTTTATGAGGGCATGGTAGAGTATCATGTGTACTCATGCCATGTTGGCAATGTAGGGCGTTTAAGTGAGTCAAAGAAAGTCAATTGTGTTAAGTTGTTAGCGCGTAGTATAAATAGTTCCTCTTTGTGTAATTCTTTAAAAGAATCTGATGCATAAAAAGTTGTTTGCCTTGGTGAATGTATAAATGTAGAAAGAAAACATTGACCATCTTTGTTTAGAAAAATTATGCTCACAGCTGAAGAATCCATGTGATGGGATTTATGCATCTTGACAATATAGTTAATGTTTTAATTTTATGGCATTTTTTGGTGTAGAACAAAATTTACTTACTGACCACAAAAACTACTTATACCTTCTGGTAACCAACTTTACTGCTTAAGACAGAAATAACTGACTTGACTGCTAAAAGACATAAATGCCCCTCAGCATGGCAGCTGCAAGTCAAACTTTATGTCTTGGCTTACCAAGGATTTGATTTTAAAGCTTTTTGGTTTCAATGCTAAATTTCTGGGGACTGTCATACATTTTGTATATTCAGCATGAAATACATATATCTGTTTATTCCGTTATGGCTGCAATTATTATGATTTATGAATTTTCTTTTTAGGTATTTTTTGTTGGCTTCCATCTATCTGGTCTGACTAAGTTCGATGAGGAAGAAGAGAAGAGAATGTTGAAGCAAAAGAAGAGAACATTTACATATTTTAATCAAGTGTTATGGATTGAGAATTATTGTGGTCCCGTTGACTTGACCCGACTTGTTAATCAAGTGTATTTTGGTGGCATGATAGTGAGTGCATTGCACTGTCACAGATCGCCACTAATAAGTGTATGTGATAACTTTAGACTTTGGGTATCCATTCCATTCCAGTGTTGTGTTTATTTGAGGATATGGTTTTATAATTACAGGTTATATGTTTTTTGTAAAGGCAGCTATTTTGTATTTAGTATTTATATTGCGGGCGGTTATGGATAGAAATTTAGTAGTAAAAAAAAAAAAACCCAACCCATAGGATGATGAACCCTGTGTTGTTGTTTTTCATATACATTGTTAGTATGTGTGTGAAATCATTTGAATTGTTTGTTGAAGTGATTAAACCCTAACACCCATAAAATATGTTAGTTATTTTCTAAAGCCGAAGTGGAGTAGGAAAAGTTTCTGCATTTTGATTTGTGGAGTGAAACGAATGTGGAAAATATGTGTTGGTTATTTTCCAACTCAAATAGTTGCAACATTTTCAAGAGGTGATGATGAGAGATATTTGGTGGAATGGGAGGTATTAGACAATTAATATACTTTATTATTATAGGGATGCAAAGTGTAATTATGTAATCCATATATATTTCTTATGTACTCTATTATTGAGAGAGAGAGATAATACGTGATTTTTCCACCGGAGGACTTGACTTTTTGGTGTGGTATTCCTTTTTCTTTATAAGGATTGAACATGAGAAATTAATAATACTTCATTCACACATAGTTCCAAAAATGAAGTTCTGTATTGCTTTTCTCTCTTCTAGTCTTGTAATGTTTCTGATTTGTGGTTGTAAAGGTGATAATGAAAGCGATTTCCGGGCATTGCTGTCGTTCAAATCGATGATCAGCAGTGATCCATACGGAGCTCTAAGCTCATGGGGCAACACAACTTCCTTTCATTTCTGTGAATGGAATGGTGTTTCATGTGGGAAAAGGCACGGAAGAGTGACTGCTCTAGTACTCAAGTCGCAAGGCCTAGAAGGCATGTTGTCTCCATATGTAGGGAACCTGAGCTTCCTTGGTTTCTTTTCTCTCTTCAACAACAGCTTTCAAGGAAGCATCCCTCATGAACTGGGTCGTCTATCCAGGATACGTGTCATCGTTCTTGGCCATAACAAATTCAACGGACTCATTCCAACCAACTTGTCTCGTTGTTCTAACATTGAAAAGCTTGTACTCAATCATAACCAGCTAGTTGGAAGCATACCCAAGGAGATGGGTTTCCTCTCCAAGCTTAAAATTCTTGTAGTTGAGGATAATAAGTTAACAGGTGGAATCCCAGCTGTCTTGGGGAATTTAACATCCATGAAAATCTTCTCTGCAGCTAGAAATCCATTGGGTTTGGGTGGGAGCATTCCAGACACCTTAGGCCATTGGAAAAGCTTAACAACATTATACCTTGATGGTTGTAGCTTATCCGGAACCATCCCTCATTCCCTTTACAACCTCTTGCTCCTAACCAATCTTTCCCTGGCTGAGAATCAGCTTATTGGTGTTCTTCCCTCAGCCATAGGTGCACTGCTCCCTCATCTTGAGTCCCTTCAGTTACACCATAACCAACTCACCGGACCTCTTCCACCCTCCATATCTAACTGTTCCAAGTTAACAGTTATTGAAATGAGCGATAACAATTTTATTGGCAGGTTGAAAATCGACTTTTCAAGACTAGAGAATCTCTATTCTGTGACCATAGGGAGTAACATGTATGGATTTGGAGAAGCTGATGATATGAAGTTCATCGATGCTTTGAAAAACTGCAGCAGATTAGCAATTTTGGATCTTTATAACTCCAGCTTTCAAGGAGTGCTGCCCACGTCAATTGGTAATCTGTCTAATCAACTTAGTTTTTTGCAGTTAGGAGGAAATCAATTTTCTGGAAACCTTCCTTCAAGTATAGGTAATCTAGTCGGTTTGACCGTTTTAATTTTAGAAAACAACCAATTCACGGGAAAAATTCCCTCCGCCATTGCAAGTTGCTGCTCTCCTTGATAACCGATTTTCAGGGCCAATTCCAGATGCCATCGGGAACTTATCATTGTTGAATATACTTTTTTTAAGTTCTAACAGATTGGAGTCGCATATCCCATCAAATCTTGGAAATTGTCGTCAGCTAACTCAGTTAAACCTTTATAACAATAAACTCAGCGGCAGAATACCTAAACAACTTCAAATTCCATCTATAACCATTGAATTAGATCTGTCTCAAAACAACCTGTTTGGATCTGTTCCAACAGAGGTTGGTGACCTCAGGATGTTGACTTCTTTGGACTTATCTGATAACAACTTGTCAGGCCATATTCCTAGTAGCCTTGGTGGTTGCACTAGTCTTGTATTCCTGTCTCTCAAAGGAAATTCATTTCAAGGAACATTACCACCATCATTAAGTTCCATGAGAGGAGTTGAGACACTCGATCTTTCTCATAATAATTTATCAGGACAAATTCCTCGATTCTTGGAACGCTTCTCATTACAATATCTAAACCTATCCTTCAATGATTTCGAGGGCCAAGTACCTGTTGTAGGAGTGTTCGCCAATGCAACTGCATTCTCACTTTTGGGGAATATCAGGCTTTGTGGTGGCTTGACTGAGCTTGGGTTACCCAAATGCAATGAGACGCATGATAAACATAAAAGGAGATTTCCTTTGTTCGTAATAATCATTCTCACAGCATCTGCACTTTTTGCCATATTATGTTTCGTGTACATATGGTTTAGAAAAATCAAGGGTCAACCATCTCAATCGTCTACAAATCAACGATTCATCAAACTATCATACAATCAACTTCTCAAGGCTACAAATGGTTTCTCTGAAACCAACCTGATTGGAGAGGGTGGGGTCAGCTCTGTTTACAAAGGAATCCTTGATGATACATGTGTTGCAGTCAAAGTTGTGCATCTTCAAAATCAAGGTGCTCACAGAAGCTTTCTAGCAGAATGTGATGCATGGAAGAGTATCCGACACCGCAATCTGTTGAAGATAATAACCGCATGTTCGAGTATTGACTTTAAAGGAAATGACTTCAAAGCTTTGGTATATGAGTTCATGCCTAATGGGAGTTTACATGATTGGTTGCATTCAAATGTAACTACAACTAAACTGAACCTTCTTCAAAGAATAAATATTCTCATCGATGTCACATCCGCACTTGATTATCTTCACAATCACTGCCTACCAACCATTGTTCATTGTGATTTGAAACCTAGCAACATTCTACTTGATGATGATATGGTGGCCCATGTTGGAGACTTTGGTTTAGCTCGATTCCTTGGAACAAATTCGAACCAAAACAGCACAAGTGGGATCAGAGGAACAGTTGGGTATGCACCCCCAGGTAAAAAAAAGTCATGTATTCCAATATTGTAATACTTATTTATAGTATTATTAGTTACCTTTTTTTTTCTAAAGTAATTGCTTATAAGTTTCAGAGTATGGTGTGGGGAGTGAGATGACAAGTAGTGGGGATGTCTACAGTTTTGGAATACTATTGTTGGAGGTGATGACAGGGAAAAGGCCAACAGATGACATCTTTAATGAAGATCTCAACCTTCATAAGTTTGCTGACATGGCCTTGCCAGACCATGTAACTGATGTTATTGATGATGGCCTTTTAGATATTCTTCAAGAGGATGCTATTGCTACACAATATACTTTAGCATATGCAAACAAGATAGAGGATTGCTTGGCTTCAACCATCAAGATTGGGGTATCATGCTCTGTGGATTCTCCACAACAACGGATGAATATCGAAAATGTTGTTCATGAGTTGCAGCATATTCTGGAAAAACTTCAACATATTTGAGGTGGAATGTTTCGGGGTGTTAATTGGAAGATAGTAGTATTGTATTGAAGTATTTGATAAATATTGTGTTTTTATGGATGAAAATGTGAAATAAATGGAATTTTGAATAAAATGTCAAGTCAACGCACAAATTGAGTAGATAAACAAGACATCTCGAAGAGATGTTGAAGTCAAATCGAAGGTAAACAAGGCCCAAGTATACAAAACCTTGCTCACATCAGTCTCATAGTGCAACAACTATTTAAGACAGAATATTTGATTGGGCAACCCACAAAAACGTTGGATTTAAAAATTGTACGTGATATTTTTCTAAACCCAAAATTTAGTTAGAATTTTTTTTTTTTTTGACGCGTATTGTCAAATGAATTTGGAAAATATATCTTTGAATTGTCAAAGTCTTTGTAGCTAAAATTTCTAAACCAAATGGAGGTTTAGAAATAATTGGTATTCCATTTTCCAAGTCAACTTATAACATTTTCAAGAGGCCTCTCTTTATAAGGATTGAAAATGGGAAGTTAATAAATATCTCATACCATCCTCTTTGGGTTTAAAATTTAAATCGTCTAAACAGTTTAGACGTAAAGTTTATCAAGTGTAGTCCCAAAAATGAATACTCGAGTCGTTGCTTTCCTCCTCTTGTTTAGTGATGTAATATTTGTGATTACTACCAGCAGTATCTCTGCTTCCAATAATGAGACCGATTACGAGGCGTTGTTGCAGTTCAAGTCCATGATCACCAATGATCCATACGGAGCTCTAAGCTCATGGGGCAACACAACTTCCTTTCATTTCTGTGATTGGAATGGTGTTTCATGTGGGAAGCGCCACAAAAGAGTCACTGCTGTACGAATGATTTCATAAGGCCTAGAAGGCTCGTTGTCTCCACATGTAGGGAATCTCAGCTTCCTTCGTTTCTTTAGTCTCTGGAACAACAGCTTTCAAGGAAGCATCCCTCATGAACTGGGTCGTCTATCCAGGCTAGGTGTCCTCGATCTTCGCTATAACAAATTCGACGGAGTTATTCCAAGTAACTTGTCTCGTTGTTCTAACCTTGAAAGGCTTGGCCTTTCTTATAACAAGCTAACTGGAAGCATACCCAAAGAGATTAGTTTCCTTTCCAAACTTACTTTACTTATAATCGATAGTAATAAGTTGATAGGTGGAATCCCGCCTGTTTTGGGGAATCTAACATCAATGCAAGTCTTCTCTGCTGCCTTCAATCCTTTTGGTGGGAGCATTCCAGAGACCTTAGGCCGGTTGAAAAGATTAGAACAATTTGGCTGTGGTGGTTGTAATTTATATGGAACCATCCCTCACTCCATTTACAACCTCTCACTCTTAACTATTTTTTCCTTGAATAATAATCAACTTATTGGTAGTCTTCCCTCAGCCATAGGTTCGATGCTCCCTCGTCTTGTGCAACTTCAGTTGAGGGATAACCAACTAGTCGGAAATCTTCCACCCTCGTTGTCTAATTCTTCAAAACTACAACTTTTTGAAATGGGTAACAACAATTTTAGTGGCAAGTTGGAAATCGACTTTGCAAGACTAAAAGATCTCAATTTTTTATCCTTAGGGAATAACATCTTTGGATCTCGAGAAGCTGATAATATGAAGTTTATCGATACTTTGAAAAACTGCAGCAAATTAGACACTTTGGATATTTTCAATTGCAGCTTTCAAGGAGAGCTGCCGACATCAATCGGTAATCTATCTGATCAGCTAAGTTTTCTAGAGATGGGAGGAAATCAATTTTCCGGAAACCTTCCTTCATGTATAGGTAATCTAGTCGGCTTGACTACCTTACTTTTAGATAATAGCCAATTCACGGGAAAACTCCCCTCCACCATTGGCAAGCTTCTGAAACTGCAAGTTGCTATTTTCACCCGGAACCAATTTTCAGGGCCAATTCCAGATACCATCGGGAACTTATCATCATTGAATCTACTTGATTTAGGCTACAACAGATTGGAAGGCCATATCCCAACAAGTCTTGGAAATTGTCATCAACTATCTGAGTTATACCTTGATGACAATAACCTGAGTGGCAGAATACCTAAACAACTTCTTCAGCTTCCATCTCTAACCATATCCTTAGATTTGTCTCGAAACAACCTGACTGGGTCAATTCCAACACAAATTGGTGAACTCAAGATGTTGGCGTCTCTCGATTTATCTGATAATAAATTATCAGGTAACATCCCTAGCGCCCTTGGTGCTTGCACTAGCCTTCTGTTCCTATCCCTCCAAGGAAACTCTTTTCAAGGCATGGTGCCACCATCATTAAGTTCCATGAGAGGAGTTGAGACACTCGATCTTTCTAATAACAAGTTATCAGGCCAAATTCCTCGATTCTTGGAACGATTCTTGTTACAATATCTAAACCTTTCCTTTAATGATTTTGATGGTGAAATACCAATGCTAGGAGTGTTTGCCAATGCAAGTGCATTCTCAGTTTTGGGGAATACCAGGCTTTGTGGTGGGTTGCCTGACCTTGGGTTACCCAAATGCAATGAGACACATGATAAACATAAAAACAAGTTTCCTTTGTTCGTAATACTCATTCTGATTGCATCAGCACTTTTCACTATATCGTGTTTAGTGTATGCTTGTTGTAAGAAAATCAAGGGCAAACCCTCTCAATCATTGACAAACGGACGATTCATCAAAGTATCATATGCTCAACTTCTCAAGGCTACAAATGGGTTCTCTGAAGCCAACCTGATTGGAGAGGGTGGGGTCAGTTCTGTTTACAAAGGAATCCTTGAAGATCATGATGATACATGTGTTGCAGTCAAAGTTGTACATCTTCAAAACCGAGGTGCTCACAAAAGCTTTCTAGCAGAGTGTGAAGCATGGAGGAGTATCCGACACCGCAATCTGTTGAAGATAATAACCGCATGTTCGAGTCTTGACTTTAAAGGAAGTGACTTCAAAGCTTTGGTATACGAGTTCATGCCTAATGGGAGTTTACATGATTGGTTGCATTCAAGTGCAATAACATCACGATTAAACCTTCTTCAAAGAATAAAGATTCTCATTGATGTCGCATCCGCACTTGATTATCTTCACAATCACTGCCTACCAACCATTGTTCATTGTGATTTGAAGCCTAGCAACATTCTACTTGATGATGATATGGTGGCCCATGTTGGAGACTTTGGTTTAGCTCGATTCCTTGGAACAAATTCGAACCAAAACAGCACAAGTGGGATCAGAGGAACAGTTGGGTATGCACCACCAGGTAAAAAAAAGTCATGTATTCCAATATTGTAATACTTATTTATAGTATTATTAGTTACCTTTTTTTTTTTTTTCTAAAGTAATTGCTTATAAGTTTCAGAGTATGGTGTGGGGAGTGAGATGACAAGTAGTGGGGATGTCTACAGTTTTGGAATACTATTGTTGGAGGTGATGACAGGGAAAAGGCCAACAGATGACATCTTTAATGAAGATCTCAACCTTCATAAGTTTGTTGACATGGCCTTGCCAGACAATGTAACTGATGTTATTGATGATGGCCTTTTAGATATTCTTCAAGAGGATTCTATTGCTACACAACATACTTTAGCATATGCAAACAAGATAGAGGATTGCTTGGCTTCAACTGTTAAGATTGGGGTATCATGCTCTGTTGATTCTCCACCACAAAGGATGGATATCGAAAATGTTGTTCATGAGTTGCAGCATATTCTGGAAAAACTTCAACATATCTGAGGTGGAATGTTTCGGGGTGTTAATTGGAAGATAGTAGTACTGTATTGAAGTATTTGATAAATATTGTGTTTTTATGGATTAAAATGTGAAATAAATGGAATTTTGAATAAAATGTCAAGTCAACGCACAAATTGAGTAGATAAACAAGACATCTCGTAAAAAAATTAACATTGCACAACTTTTAAAAAGAGATGTTTAAAAAGAGATGGGATGTTGAAGTTAAATCAAAGCTAAACAATGCCATGTATACAAAACCTTGCTCACATTAGTTCTCATTGTGCAACAACTCAAATTTACATTAAACAAGAATGTTTTTTTTTATATATATACAGGAATCAAACAGTGGCCAATAACCATAACACAACATATGAAGAAATGGCAAGAAGAAACCATGCAATGAAAGCCAAAGCTATGGAGATTTGGAAAGTATAACATGAGAGTGAAGGCTGTAATCTGCAGATATCAGTGTCTTTCATGAACAGAATCATCACTCCAGCTGATGAGCTAGCAGCTGCAAGTGATAGAATCACTGTCACCTGTGTGAGTCATGTTTTGTTATTACAAAACTATATATGTCATCCTATGAACTTTCAGTTGTGATCAAACTACTGAAGAATAAAGATCATACTGATTAATTATTATGATGGTGTTGGAAGGTTGAAAAATGGAATTAATTACTAACCCAGTCACCAACCAGAAGAAAGCTTAATAGGATATGATTGTGGAGATCTTTGTTTAACCTAAGAGCATGAATATCAAGACATGCAAGTCCAAAACTCCATAACACTTGTAGTCCCATTGCTGCAATTAGATAGCTGAAATTGATAAAGATGAACTAATAAGTTAGAGCTTTTGCATTGTAGACAGATACATACAATCAAACAATGCTAGATGATGGATACACATATGCACATGTTGTTGATTATTTTCTTCACACAGAGTCGATTTTTGCATGCTAAAATCGATTGTTGATGATTTTCTCTATTTCCAGAGGTGAACAGGGTCCAATATGTCAAACCAACAATCCACCACACTTAAACTAATATAATCACAAACACTTAAATCCTATCATTACTGAACCCCACCATTTCGTGATGTTATCAGGAAAGTTATCCAACTACATATCTTATCAGTTATCACAGCTACAAACAACGCAAGATTGAAATCCCAATTGAAACGGAAACAATAACAACTAAGATGAGAAGCCCAAATTTCGAATACAGTTATACTCCAATTAAGAACAGCATATCAATAAATTTGTGATGTGTGTGTGTGAGAGAGAGAGGGAGTGAGACCAGAAGGAAGTAGCGGTAGAGAAGCCAGAAGCAGACGACATGACAGCAAGAGAAGCAGCAGCAAATAAGCACTGGCACAGCCTCAACGCAAGCCCACTGGGTTTCCCAGGACTCCCAAACAACGATTTCATCTCTTTCACTCTGCGTTTTGATCGGCGAAAACGAAAACGAAAACTACAAATTGTATCTGGCTACATGGATGGATGGTTGATGGGTATTTTGGGGGTTTGTGGAAATTGTGGATTGTTAGAACATTCCCCTAAATGTAAAGGCAGGTAGACCCACAATCTGTCGCCATCTTTGCAAAGAATATGCGAAGCACTTGATGTTGCCTCCTCCTCCTTTTGGTTTTAATTAAAGTTGAAGATGAGGGAAACGATTATAATACACAAGCAGCTGCGTCAATAACGTTTATTAATTTCAATAGTGAAAACGGGTTTGGATGTCATTATAAAATCACCTTTACGGAAAGTGTTACTTTTTTAATTTCAGAAAAAGATTTAATTAAATAATAAATTTCATGTGGGAAAGTTAAAGGAATCAGAAAATTGAATTGAAAAACTTAAAAAACATGTTGATTGTTGGGTAAATCGGATTGAAAAAGCCGATTTTGTTAACGTAACCAACTTTTCTTTCAAATTTTAATTTCCGGATATGATTTAGTTTCATGGTTTTAAAAGTGACTGCAAAATATTAAATCAAAAAAATTAATTCAATTTAGCTTAACATGTTTTAGGTATTTCATTAAACGTTATTTAATGTTTTAAAAATTGTTTCGAACGGAACCATTCAACTAGTACACATTTTGTGTTTATTCTTAACATGAACAACCCTTTTTTTTTTTTTTTTTTTACAAAAACCTCTTGTAAACCAATTAAATTAAACTGATTAAATTTAATAAAAACACATGGACGCATATAAATTAAACATTTTACATAAAAAACTTTGATGATCGTTTTGATATCTATTTATATTTCTTTGAATAAAAACATATTGTAAACCTTAATATGTTTTAGGTATTTCATTAAACGTAATGATGTTTTTAATGTATTTGTATTCATCAAAAATATTTTGTTTCGATATTATATTATATTTTATTTTTGATGTATTTTGATTGATATAAAACTTATGGTTATGTGTTTTGTTTAATGTACTTCAATTGATTTACAACTTTTTTTTTATGAATTGTTAATGCTTTAACTTGTGGAGGCATACTTAATTTATGTATGTATCTGTGTATGTATGTATGTATGTATGTGTGTGTATGCATATATGTATTTCTTTTTCGAACGACAACTTTATTTAAAACACTGGACTAGCAAAAAAAGCAGCCGGGAAAAAGAAGAAAAATTATATAATAGCAAGATTCACGTTTTGCAACCATCCTACCCAATTAATATCCTTCTTACACCTACCATCAGGCCAACGAAAAGATTTTATAACTATATTATCAAAAATAAGGGAAGCCTTTGGTTTTGTAGCTCCAAAAATCATAGAATTCATGTACTCTCATATCATCCACTAAGACACATAAAAAACACACTCCAAGATCTGTTTAACGAAATTCAGGAAATGCAAAGCCTTGAACCAAACTAACCAATCTGCATAGGAAGACAAACTTGGAGCTGGAAAACCCCACCAACGATAGACTTGAAAAATAACGCTAGCCAAAAGAGAGCAATCAAAAAAAGATGAGAGGAAGATTCCACTACGCGTTCACAAATCAGGCATAATAAATTGAAAAATCAATACCGCTCCTATATATGTGTAGGAAAAAAATTCTAGAAACCGGATTAACCCGATGGTCCAATCGGTTGAACTAGAAACCAATCACCATATCGATTCAACTAAAAAACTTGTTTTTAAAACATTGATTTTATGTATATATTTGTCTTGTATATAATATAGTAAGAATATGCAAAGTTACATTATCTACCAAATGGTTTCTAGCCTAGCGATATCCGGTATCGTCATCTATGGTTTTGGTTTTATTGGTAGTTTTTGTATTTAGTGGATATAAAATTATCGTTTTATTCTTATTGTTTTTAAAACAATTATTATTATTTTAATTAAGTAAATAAAATAGTCCTTGCACACCGGCCATCTACCCTTACTCCTTTCTTTTCCGGTAACACACACACCAACAACCTCCTTACTCCTTTCTTTTCTGGTAACACACACACCAACAACCTCGTTCTGATGAACAATGACAAACACCATATGCTTGCTAAAACTAGATAGGAATCGATGCAAACATGGTGACCTTAATTAACAGCCATGGAGGGGAGGGGCAGGTAAAAAGACAATAGTCACTGAGGCAGAGGCGGAACCAGGAATATTCATAAGGGGTAGTCCATATTTTTCGGTGAAAAATCATCTTATGGCACGCTTGTATCTTAGACTCTTAGTTTAAGTATTGTGTATCTACTTAAATTATAAGAGAATGGTAATAGAATGTGGCACTTTTGAGATAAAACCAAGTTGATAATTAACTTACAAGCTACACCAGAACAACTTATTGTATCGCAAGATAACATCAAGTCAAGAGTAGAGAGACAAAATCATCTATCAATGTCAAGTTTATAACCATATTCTGTAGAGAGGATTCAAATGTATAATACTAAATCACATAAAGCAAAATTACAAGAAACAGAATGTCACTAGAGCATTTATGCAAACATCTTGTGTGCATATCACTGGTGTACTAGTATTTAATCATGTAATTTTGTATGAAAGGGTAAAAGAAAGTAAGAGCACCATTTACCAAAATTACATATAGATTGTATGACTGATATCTACCTTATTATTTATGAGTTTTCTCTCTCTCATTTGTGAACCTTAGCATTGTCAAGTTGGGATCATACTAGTGAGTGGTTATGTATTAGGATTAGTAACTAAAGTGAATCATTTAGCATCTAATATAACTTGTATGACGTGAAGATTGAAGTCACATCTAATGGCATCTAACCCTTCAACACTTCCATTCATAGTCTTCATCAATATCAACCAACCTCTTCTTCATCTAGTGAGAATGGCTGCCATAACCCACTAATACCACCACTGATTCATTGCACTATAATCACACCTGCAAATAAAATAAAAGAAGATAAATTCTCGTTTTCTCTGTGAATCCCATCAAACCCACACACCCTTCTCCATTTGGCTTTGAGAATTAGTATAAAATTCAATACAAAAGGCACTTTTGATGGTTATCATTTCAAAAACTTATTTAGTAATCTATATTTCACAATTACTATTGTCATAGACATTCTTTAATAGTTAACATTTTTAAAAGTTTTTTTTTCTAGAAGTTAACTAATTTTTATATTTTTTATATATTATATGGTTAAGGCATGTCATGATGCAATGTGTGATTTAGTCGTTTTTATAATGTCCAATGCGGGTTTGTTAAGTGTGGCGCACAAATAATGTGTCAAGATGCGCCTTAGCGCTATATGGTGCGAGCTTTTTTCAGTGTCCGACATTTTAGGGAAAATGACTTGTAAGGGTAATGATGTTTTACCCGTGTTCACATTATACCATTAACGTTTTTTTTAACAAAAAATACCATTAAAATGTGTTTTCTATACATAGTTTACCATTGGTAACCGGATACAATAGGTATCCCGGTAATTTATTTATTTAAAAAAAAAAACAAATTATGTGGAAAATACGTGGCTCACCCCTCTCCATTAAACACCCTCACCCTCAATTAAACACTCTCAAAGCACGATTAAACACCCCCATACCAAGATCGTTGTGTAGGGTTTTCTCAGTCGAAGTTTTGTTTGAGATCAATCATGGCTGGTCCATCTAATGCAAAAGGATCAACTTACATTCAAGTAGATGTTCATTACGATGGAATGTTTTCCCCCATTCCTCATCTTATATACTACTTGAATCAAAAAACGTCAATTACAGATGTCGATTTTGGTGGATTAAATTTCAAGGAGTTCATTCATGTTCTTGAGGATGTCACAAAGGGGAAGTGTCCTGTTGTCTACTACTGTCTTGGGCATAAGTCAATGCGTGATGGGTTGACACCACTGAAAAACGATGATGACTATAGGAGGTTTCTTGATGTTGCACATGGTAACGAGGGAAAGATTAATGTATATATTGATCACTACAACGATTCGGTGCTTGACTGGATAGAGGAAGAAAAGGAAGAAAAAAGTGTTGATAGTGAAAGCTCTGATGAAGATAAAGACTCGGTCATGTCTGATGCTCTATCTGTTGATCATGAACCCGATGAAGAGGTAATACCATTGACTAAATCTGATGATCCCTTTCTTAACTATATTAGTGTTGTCCCTAGAGATGAGTTTGTTGATGAGGATGATGATTCAGATAATGGAACCAAAGAAGCCCCAATTTACCCTTTTCATGACTCAACTCAGAAATGGGATACAATGCAACCCATCCTTGGTATGAGGTTTTGTAACCCTCAAGAACTTAAACAGCTTGTCTCAAACTATGCAGTAGCAAACGGTTTTAACCTTTGGTATGAAAAAAATGATAAAACTAGGTTGTTAGTCAGGTGTTGTAAAACTAGTGAAGGAAAGGCAGCATGTCCTTTTAGACTATGGGCTACTTGGATGAGCAGTGAAAAGTCATTCCAAATTAAGTCCTTACGTAATGAGCATAACTGTGCTAGAACCTTCAAGTTTGGGTCAGTTGTTACTTACTCATGGATAGGGAAACATTTTGTTAATGATATTTTAGAAAATCCCAAAATGAGTTGCAGGGAAATGAGGGATAAAGTTGGGGAAATTTTCAATGTGAAGGTTAGTGTTGGACAATGCAGGAATGCAAAGAAGTTTGCACTTAATGAGATCGAAGGCAGTTTGAACACACATTATGAAAAATTATGGAGTTATGGAGCTGAGATATTAAGAGCTAATCCAGGGTCAACAGTGAAAATTGGGATGGATACAATGCCTGATTCCACAATTTATTTTTCTAGGATGTATGTTTGTATCAAAGGTGTAAAGGATGGTTGGATTGAAGGATGCAGGAGGGTTATAGGTGTAGATGGTTGCTTTTTAAAAGGTATTTGCAGAGGTGAGCTTCTTTCAGCTGTAGGTAGAGACGCTAACAACCATATTTACCCCATTGCTTGGGCAGTAGTTGCAGTTGAGAACAAAGAAACTTGGAAGTGGTTTCTAAACTTACTACTTAAGGACATTAACATGGGAAATGGGGTAGGATTAACCTTACTTTCTGACCAACACAAGGTATTTATCCTAACTGTTTTTTAATTGGTTACCGTTTTATTTATCTTAATGTTATGTTTATCTTAATGTTATGTTTATGTTGCATGTTTAGGGTCTTATTGAGGCTGTTAAAGAAAGAGTACTAGATGCTGAGCATAGGCAATGTGCTAGGCACGTCTATGCTAATTTCAAGAAAAAATTTAAGGGTGCTGCATATAGGAAGCTTTTTTGGAGGGCTGCAAAGGCCACAACTGTGCAGAGGTTTGAAGGTATAATGAAAGAGATTAGGGTGATTGATATACAAGCATATGATCACTTGATGGAAAGAGATCCAAAATCCTGGTCTAGGGCTTTTTTTGTATTGGACAGGTCTTGTGATGCCATTGAGAATGGTATTTGTGAATCCTTTAATGCTGCAATTGTGCATGCTAGGAAAAAGCCGATTATAACAATGTTAGAGGAAATTAGGAGGTTTGTGATGGATAGGATGTATTGTAAAAGATTGAAGGGGCAGAAATGGAATCTAGCCATATGTCCATCTATTAGAAAGAAAATAGTGGACAAGAGGAAACATCTAAGGTATATATACTTTATTTTATAGGTATTGGTATGTAATTCCCAAGTACTAATTTTATACTATATTCCTTTATTTTATAGGTATTGGTATGTAATTCCCAGTGGAGTGCAACAATTTGAGGTGAGGTCAGTACATGAGGTTTATGCTGTGTACTTGAACCAAAGAACATGTGCATGTAGAGGATGGCAACTAAGCGGTATACCATGTATACATGCCATGGCTGCTATTAGTTATCTAAATGAGAATGTGGAAGACTATGTGGCAACTTGGTTCACAACAAAAATGTTTGGAAATTGCTATAAGTATACAATTAATCCTTTAAATGGAAGTGAAATGTGGCCATCTTGGGAAGGTCAACCTATGTTGCCCCCGAAATGTAAAAGATTACCTGGCAGACCTAAAGTCAACAGGAAGAAGGCTGCTTCAGAAAAAGAAGGTCGTCATACTATTAGCAAGAAAGGGGCTATTACAAAATGCAGCATCTGTAGAGAACCAGGACACAACAAAATAACATGTCCATTGTCCAAAGAAGGTTTTTTTTTCATATCAAGTATCATTCATTTACAAAAAAAATATAAGTATTATCTATTAATGCATTATAAATTTTAATGTAGGACCAAGTACTAAAGCCAAAAAGAAGAAGGGTAAACATGTTCCTGATGTTGAGGATGAGTCTGAATTTGAGATTGAAGAGATGGATGAAGTTGAAAATGAGTATGAATCTGAGTCTGAATCTGAGATTGAAGAGCTGGCTGAAGATGGTGATGAACCTGATCAGGGACAAGTTGATGAACAAGTTGTTGAAGTTGCTGTTGAACCTGCTGTTGAAGCTGTTGTTGAACCTGATCAGGAACAAGTTCATGGACCTGTTGTTGAGGAACCTGCTGCACAACCCGTTGTTGAAGTTGAACAAAGAGCACAACCATTGAAGAGGAAAAGGAAATACTCAGAGAGGATCACTGAAGTGGCATTAAGGAGGGTGGTCATCACCAAGGATGGATGTGGTTTAAGTGTGAATAAACCTGTTACACTGGAATGATTCCCTTTGATGTAAATCTGCACATTAAAAACTGTGCTTTTGTTTGGTTAAGGATGAAATTACTATGCTTGTCTTTTGCTAAAAACCATGCTTGTCTTTTGATGTAAATATGCACATTAAAAACTGTGCTTTTGTTTGTTATTACCCTTTAAATATAATCTACATCGTTCAATGTTGCTTTTACATATGATTCCTTGTTTTTGACCATTATGCCCTTCATATTATTTTTTACCATTATTCACATTAGATCATATTCAAACACAAGATTCTGCAAAGTTGTTTGCAAAGTTGCTTTTACATAAGATTCTTTTTGACCATTATGCTCTTAGGATTCCTTCATTTTGACCATTATGCCCTTCTGCACATTAAGAGGTAAAATTCTGCAAAGTTGTTTGTACAAGGGTAACATTCTGCACATTATTACCCTAATAAGACAATGCATGAATGCTCATTCAATGTTGTTTGTACTTAAGATTAAATCATATTCAAACTTAAGCCAAACATGTCCATATTATTTTTACCATTATTCACATTAAATCATATTCAAACACAAGATTCTGCAAAGTTGTTTGCAAAGTTGCTTTTACATAAGATTCTTTTTAACCATTATGCTCTTAGGATTCCTTCATTTTGACCATTATGCCCTTCTGCACATTAAGAGGTAAAATTCTGCAAAGTTGTTTGTACAGGGGTAACATTTTGCACATTATTACCCTAATAAGACAATGCATGAATGCTCATTCAATGTTGTTTGTACTTAAGATTAAATCATATTCAAACTTAAGCAAAACATGTCCATTCAATCGTATTCAGCAAAACATGTTCATTCAATCATATTCAGCAAAACAACCATAATATCCGATTACAATTTGACATTTATGCCCTTAAAAGTGATACTACAAACAACATAAACAACACAATTACATATGTTTTGAGACTGCTAATTTTTCTAATTATCTTATCAAATTCTTCATCTGTGTTCTTTTTGTAAATATTGAAATCATGGTCCATAATTGCAATCCTCACTTCACAAGATTGTGCCCTTACTTCACAGGATTGTGCTCCCACTTCATCTCTTTTCTTCTTGTTGACTGTATCTTCTTTATTAACCCATTCCCAGAATTTGCATTTAATTTCTGGGTTATCCTAAAACAAATATACAAAAATTATTGAAAAGACCTTACTACATATAGATTAAACCCGACATACCGTTGAATTAGGGCAAACCCTAAACTCTTTTCCAGGATTATCTTTGGTCGTTGAAGTCCAGATACGAGAAGGGTAGCCACAATCACAGGGATTTGCAAAATCAAGTTTCGATTTTGACTTGATTTTCTTCGATCTTGTGTTGGAGGTGTATGTAGAGGAGGAAGCCATGGATTTGAGAAAGCTGCTACAGTCTTGAAGAGTGAAGAAGAAATCGTGCTTTGAGAGTGTTTAATTGAGGGTGAGGGTGTTTAATGGAGAGGGGTGAGCCACGTATTTTCCACATAATTTGTTTTTTTTTTAAATAAATAAATTACCGGGATACCTATTGTATTCGGTTACCAATAGTAAACTATGTACAGAAAACACATTTTAATGGTATTTTGTGTTAAAAAAAAACTTTAATGGTATAATGTGAACACGGGTAAAACATCATTACCCTTGCAAGTCATTTTCCCGACATTTTATTCTCATTAAGCTTAAAATAATTGAGTTTTTGTTAACTTTTTAATATTAAATGCTAATATAACATTTCTAAAAACTTGATATATTTGATATAATTTTATAATCATCTGATTTTTTTAATATATATTTGACCTTACCGTTAAGTCACACCTCATGCAATTTAAGATCTTGATATATTGTATAAAACCTTCATATAATTTGTTAATTTTAAACATATATTACGGTAATATTTTAGTATTTGATATTTATATGATTTTCAAATTTTTGACAATCACTTTTAATATAAATTTCTCTAGTAGTATAGTTAATCTTATTTTGTATAATAAACCAAATAGATAAACTAATAAAAAAAATAATAAAAGTTCAATATTTAAATATAACTAGGAGGTAAAACAAAATGTTATTAAATCTCAAGCCATGGGAATCTAACATTCTCTTCTCTCACAACCCACTTGTCATATAAACACCACATCAAAAAAAAAAAAAAAAATTCTCCTCTTAACACATTTCTGCCAACCCACATAATTTTCTTTAAAAAACATTTAGTAATTTAAAATTATATAAATTAGGCTGAACGTTGTATATAGGTAAATAATATAAATCAAGAAAGGCACATATCAAATTGAAGGGACGAGATGAACTCCTCCATTGACCCTAACAAACATCTACTTTCGCAATAATTGGCCTAACACCAGCAGTACTACGACCAAACTACAGCCCACCATGCATGACTCCGTGCACCTTAAGAGCCAAAATGGATAAAATATACAAAAGCAATAACTGGTTGTAGTTTACCAACTAATAAGTAGTTAGGAGTGATTTCTTCAAATACCTCTAGCTGCATAAAAAACAGCATCGGAGGTGTTTTAATTGTATATAAATATTAAAATAGTCGAGATTTGGGCCGCACTCAGGCTTTTGATTTGGTCGCATCTAAAATAATAAAACATAGAAGAGAAGAGGGAGTGATAGATTTTATTAAAAAAAAAAAAAAATGAAAACTAGTAGTCATAAAAGGAGAAGAATGCTGCGAATACGACACACACAGAGTTCAATGTATAACTACTTGACTTGACTAGTAATAAGAAGTAAGAAGAATAGGTGGGTGGCTAGAAAGTGGAACCAATAACCAATTGGGTGGGTTTTGAGTTTTGTAGTTGACACTTGACACTGACTCACAGCCTGGTCCGCTTAAGTCACGAACGCATTAAAAGCTGTTAATAAATATCAACGTATCATCTCATCTCATCCTCATCATCGTACAACATCCAAATCTTTCCCTTCTCTGCATGCCTGCCTAGCCTACTACTACCACCTTAATTCCATTTATGATGCCATGCAGAGGCTCAACTCAACCAAACCACACAATCTAAAGCTAACATAAGCTTAAGCTGCTGCTTTATGATTATTATTATTATGGGTCGTCGTGGTGGTAAGGTCTTTGTGAGTATACACAACCCCTTTATCATTATCCACCACTTGTCCGCTTCCTCGTGCAATCCTGAAAATCATATAATATAATACAATATAACACCTTTGTTTCTGGTTCAATAACTAAATGGATTTTTAATAATAAACTCAACATACCACCGTGTTGTAAGCAATCCTTCAACACCTACGGGCCCACGAGCATGGATCCTGCTCGTACTTATACCAACCTATTCCATTCCAACAATTAATTACTAAAAACTACAAATATAATATTTAATATTGAATACAGATACCTACCTCTGCCCCAAGACCAAACCGAAATCCATCACTAAATCTTGTGCTTGCATTGTGAAACACAGCAGCACTACAACAACAATTATTAAACCAAACCAATATTACTTTAACTATAAATATGAAATATGAAATATTAATTCAATCAATTTCCAAAACCCTAACCTGTCCACTTGACTTAGAAACAGATCTGCAACTTCTCGGTCTTCCGTAACAATACAATCAGTATGTGCACTGCAAACAAAATCAGCTACTCTGGTGTCATGTTAACCATATGTAAAAACTTACACATCAAACACATAAAGAGAAAACTTCTTTTTCTTGCCTTCCATGTTTGTGTATGTGATCAATGGCTGCATACACATCATCCACAATTTCAAGGGTGCAATTCATTGAACCATACTCGTGATGAAACGAGGGTGCTGGTGTAAGATTCAGCACAGAGCTCGCCCTTGGACCACCATTTATGCTAACACCTAATCAAAAAAAAAAAATATATATATATATAAATAGATATAACATAGTACTTTTTCTCCAATCCATTAAGTATTAAACAAATACCAAACCTTTAGTTTGAAGTTCTATGAGAAGCTCATTAACACCACCATTCTCCATCAGCTCCTTATGAACAAGAAGTGTTTCCTGGTAGTAGTTAAACAGTAACCCACACACATATCATATCATATCATATTACCACCCAACATCAACAAGAAATTTCACATTACATACCATGGCATTACAGGCTGCAGGGTAGTCTGTTTTTGCATCCAAAACTATGTTCTTTGCCATTTCCATGTCTGCAGATTTGTCCACATACACATGACAAATTCCATCTGGATCATGGAAAGTCAAAAACAAACAAGATTTACTACATTGAAATTCCATGCTTCTTGTTGACCTATATCAACAATGTATCCATATTTTTGACTTCTTACCAGCATGACCTAGAACAGGAATTTTTGTTGAAGACTTTATTTGAGAAACAAGTTTATTGCTGCCTCTTGGTATCACCAGATCAATCACATCATCAAGCTGTGCACATCATCACAATACAATTTAGGGGGAAACTATTTTTACATGTTTAGCTTCATATATAACAAGCAAACAAACCTTGAGCAGTTCAGGAATTTCATCTCTAGAAGTCACAAGTCCAATTAGTCCTCCACCAACACTTTCTGGTATGGCCGAAGTAATTATCTAAAAAATATTACAGGGAAAAGTAGTGCAAACTTATGTCAATATGCAATGAAAAAAAAATCATACAAACATATGGTAATTGATTCAAAAAAATATATCTGACCTTGTGCAAGATAGCATTGGAACGTTTTGCTTCCTTTCCCCCTTTCAATAGAAGCCCATTCCCAGTTCGGATAGCCAATGATGCTATCTGTTCGCACACAGTATTAGAAAGAAGAAAAAAAAAATCCAAGACTTGAATAAAACTAGGTGAACAAAAATCTAGTTGAAATTAAGACACATATCCAGACATAATTATAGCAGCATCAACTGATATGTTGTACCTGAACTAGAGCCTCGGGGCGAGACTCAAATATAACAAGAAGCACACCCAAAGGAGATGATGTCTTATCTAAGATGAATCCATCTGAAAGCTGCATTAAACAATACAAGATTATTCTATTTCATTCATAAAATCACAAATCATGATTGTATATTTATAGTATGGACTTTATCACTTTACCTCTGTTCTCTTTAATACTTGTCCAATAGGCTCTTCCATATTTGCAAGCACACGTATGGCTTTCGCAAGACTAGCAACCTATAAAAATATAATAACAAAATGAGACTTAAAGAAAAAAAAAAACTGTATAATTTTATTTATTAATTTATGACTTGCCTTCCCAGGCTTTAGAGCCAACCGAGACACTAAAGATGTTTCATATCCAGCATCTTCAGCAACAGAAATATCAGCTTCATTTTCATGTACAATCACTTTCTCATTTGCTTCAAGAGCATCAGCTATATCAAGTAATATCTTACTTCTTCCTTTCGCAGACATGGCCTTCAATTCATTAAAACATTATCAATAAATCAAAACTTCTACTTATAAACATGATTAGAATAAACCAACTAAAGTTTAAAACATACCTGAAGACGCCTAGAACTTTCTCTTGCTGCTACTGCCATGTCACGTGCATTTAACTCCCCATTTGACACCCATGTATGAGCATCCTGATGAAAAAGTGTACCAATACGCTGTCCTTGAAGTACTCTGACAATATTGTCCCCAGCAAAACCACTTGTTATAATGACAGGGATCCCAGCTTGTGAAGCATAAACAGCAGCTTTGACTTTAGCAGTCATTCCACCTCTTCCTAGCCTTGACTTATCACCAAAAGTAATTGTATTCTCAAGCTTCTCCTTAATGTATGTATAAATTAGCTTTGACTGAGGATCACTTGGTGGGCCACTGTAAAGACCATCCACATCACTCAACAGCACTAAAAGGTCGGCTTTCAACTCCAAAGCTAGCAGAGCTGCCAGGCTGTCATTATCCCAGAAAATACCAGAAGAATCCTGAAATAAATGTAAAAAATGTATATTATGAAAATAGTAATACAATTGAAATGGTTAAAAATGAGAAGCTGATATTAGAATAAAGAAACATACCTCATATGGAGCACGACGGGTACTAACTGCATCATTTTCATTAAATACAGGAATCACTTTATAAGACAATAAAGAATCGACTGTTTCAGTGAGTTGTTTCCTAAATTCTGGACTCCTGAAGTCATTATCAGTGACAAGAAGCTGAGCTGATGTGACATCTAGTTGACTGAAGAGTGTGTCATAAAGTGCCATGAGACCATTTTGTCCAACAGCTGCACATGCCTTGCCATCAAGCTCAACCTGTGGCTTTTGGAGGTCCGCAAAGCTTCAACATATTATTAATTCACTCATTAATATTTATTTAATAACCACTTTCCATTTGCTAATTTAAAATTAAAAGTATGTTTTAGTTGTATCATGTAAGTAAATAATACCTGCTGTGGACTAATTTCCTGTATCTGAGACGCTGTCTACCTGCACCAACAGCACCTGATGAGACCAAGATAACCTCGAATCCTTGAGAATTTAGTATTTGAATCTGCATTTAGGACAAAAGTTCAATCATTAATAATATTTCACAAAAATAGAAAAAAAGTAAAGAAAAATAAGTATGTTGGTTTTAATAATGATTTACCTGTTCACAGAGAGCTCCTAGTCTTCCAAGGGCAAGTCTTCCGTCTTCTCGGGTGACCACAGCTGTCCCAACCTTTAAATAAAAAAAATAAAAAATAAAAAAATTATCGGTTTGTTAATTTACAAAAATAAAGAGTCTATCAACATGTGTTTCATTTACTTTAGTCATCAAATTTAAATGACATTTCATACCAAAAAACTCATGCATGTGGCACTCTATTTTCCATAAAATGTATAAGCTTATGTTGATTGTCATTCCAGAGAGACAAAAGGAATTTCATTCATAATTTCCATTAACAATATTAAACGCTATATGCTAAGAGTTGCATAGAGATTATTATTATGTTCTCCACCCAATCTTAATCATAATTTGCATGGTATTAGAATTTTGCCGAATATCCTTTTTGAGGATTCGTTGAATCATATGCCAAGACTATCTGTGTGATTATTATAAAAATCTTTTCAATTTTCATAATCATCCACAGATAAATAGATAGATTTCCGCTTAAAGGATTAGCCGCACGACTAACCTATGAAAAGGATATAAATACCAAAACGGATTAGAAATCTACATTGATGAAATCACTTCAATTCTTATTAACAACTCAAAACCCTAGCATGATTACTGACATCACACACACAGAAATTATTATTTGAACAGAATAGAAAACCAAATTCACAAATGCAATCTGAAAAATAGCACATCGAACGATTTAGGGATCAAAATCTCGGGAAAACTATAAACTAATCGAACACAACTAGCAATCGAAAATCGATACGATTCCAGTCGATAAGAGAAATCAATGAAATTAAGAGTTACCTTAATTACGATACGCTTCACATCTTTAAGAAATCCACGAGTTGGATCGATCGCCGCCATTATTAAAAGTTTAAGCTCTGTGTGTGTGTGTGTGTGGTGATTTGGCAGCTGCCTTGTTCCTGAATGTAAAGAGGGATGAGGAAACTCGTGAAAGACTCCCTATCGTAGGGTTTCACTGTCTGCTCGTCGACAGCTCCGCATATATATATACAGGGCCGCTGTATGTATAGTCATCCACAGACACACAGAACCTAGAGAGAGATTGATTGACTAAGAAAATCGGGCCGAACTCACGTATATTTCAGGATAGGGAGAGCATGATAAGCTATGATTGGTACAGCTGTCGCGATCGATGTCTTGTGTGGAGATCGTGACACGTTGATTAATATAACTTCGATCTTAGTGGTGTCCTGTGATTGAAAGATACCAGGCTTTTCAATAAGCGTGAGGAGTACAGGAACACAGCCCATTAGGAAAACAAAACATTTCTTTAGGTCGACTAAACCACTAACAATTTTTTCATAGGACAAATTAAAAAATAATTTATAAACTATGGTCTACCTAACATGACAAGATAAAAGTATATGCTACGAAAATAAATTGGTACAATATAATAATTTGTTTATACATCTAATTTCACGATGTTATATTGTATGGTGGTTAACATTTGATATGAAATTAATATTATATTATTATATCTAGATATTAAAATGTATTTGTTGTGTTTTTCGTATCTATCATGTTTTGTACAATCAAATATAAATTAAATAAATAAATTGTTATTTTTGTTGTTTTGTGACGTGCTTAAATATATTTATTTTCGTATTAACAAAATAAAAGCAAGATATATTGTTATGTTATGTTTATGTTAAATAAAAACTTGTCATGTCATTGAAATAAAATATGATATAATTGTCTGATTTAACATCCCTACCAACCAACAAGGTGTATTGGAAATATATTCTTCTTCAAATGGTTAAAGTTCAAGTTTCTTTATATATATATATATATATATATATATATATATATATATATATATATATATATATATATATATATATATATATATATATGGGAAAAGTAAATATACTCTTAAGGGTATATAAGCTTAGGTACCCAAACACATTATAATACGTCGTTTTGTATCATATAATACATTCTAATTGTCGAATGTTCTTATAATTTAACTTCTAACTTGATTTACTTCCATGATTTTTATAAATTACACATTTATCTTCATCTTATATAATTTTCATTTTCAACTATAATATATATAGTCTAGTAGTTGGTCATCAAAAAGATATGATTTAAGAGTAAGATAATACCGAAAAATATAGTATATAAACTAAGGTTTCAAAAAGCTTACAAAACTTTTTCGTTGTAATTAATACTTAATTTATTTTTACTATATTAAACCATATTTGTCGCTTTAGATATGATAGTTATAAATACGTTGGTACTCAACATTTATAGCCAATGTATAGAGACATAATTTTATAATTTTTTGTGATACATATTTAAACAAAAAAGAAAATAATCAATCAATCAATCATATAAATACAACAATTTTAATGACGAAATTTATAGATAGACACAAAGTAATTTTTATTCTCTCAAATTGTTTTATTGATCTTTGTCAATTTAACGATATACATTAGCTAAGTTAAATAATATTAAATATAATTAAACAATGAGACAAATTTTAATAAGAAAACTCAAACAAATGTGATAAAGGCAATATTTGTTCTTCACAACTACATATAGAAGAAGTATAGTAGACAAATTATGATAACATTTGAGAGTTTCAGACGCAATAAATTTATGATATGAATATGATGTGGGATGTAACTTTTTTTATTTAAACATAAATACTAACAAGCCTTATTTAGTATTTATTTACATTAATGAAATATCATCGTTTTATATCTTTTATTGTTTGTCGGCTAATTTTTTCTAAATGTCTTTTTTTTATAAACTAACAGTGCAATTTCCAATTATTAACTAGCTTTTAAGTTAGTATCACGTATCATAATAATTAATAAAAAAATATGATTATAATGACGTTTTATAACAAATAATAAAAAAAAATATGATTATAGTGACACCAAATTAATGAATGATACTTTTCTTTTATCAATAGAGAATAATAATACAAAAACCATTTTATGTAGCCTTGAAAAGAAAAAGTCGGGCATTATCAAAAGCTATAATTTGAATTTCTTAACAAAATGCATCCTAAGTTTATTGGGGCTTAATAGTGCATTCAAATTAGCTTTAGCTCAAAGAATGCATTTCAAATGATTTGTTTGCATGAATTATTTATTGTTTGATTGAATTATAAAATTTATAAGTGTTTTCCCAAATGTCTAAAGTAGGGATAAGTGTTTGGAGCAAAAAATCATATCGGAACTACAAATGCACCCAAATTAGAATCGGTTAGGACCGAATAAGCATATTCGGTTTGGTTATAGGTTTGAAAAAATTGGCTTAATCGATTTTCGGGTATTTCGATACGATTTCACCGGTTTTGAGCTTAATCGGTTCTAAATGAGCTTAACCGATCCCGTATTTTTATAACTGACTTGATTTCAGTTTTCAGTTTTTCCGGTTTTAGAATCGTTTACATCCCTAATCCTAAGTGTAATCTATAAGATCTATTATGTATTTGACAATAAACTTTTAAGGAGTTTGAATTACAACAAAAAAAATTGTATGATATTAAAAGATTTTTGCTTTTATTCTAAATAAAAAGTTTTTAATTAAAAAAAACTACTTCAAGTAGCTATTGAAAGCTTTTAACTTTTACTTTTGATATAATTTTACATATTTAAAAGCTAATTGATATTTGTGTCGAACTCTTATACAAAAAGAAAAGTTACAACTTCCAATTAGTTTTATCAACGCCTTGATTTTTGTGTCGTGTCATTATTGTTGAATCTATATATTTATGAATCATTCTAAAGTGATGTTGCCAATAACATATGATCACATAGGGTCACACGTTTAGCAAGTTATCACTTATTGAATATTTATTGGTAATTTGATTATTAATAATAATAAATCAACTAATATAATTAATTATAGAATAGTTATTATTTATGAAAATAATATTATCTAAGAGAGAAAAATAACTAGTAGTTCATAATTATTATTTAGCAGGTTGTTTCTCACAAGGAGATGATGCTTGTAAAGCAACCTCTTACAAATCAAAAACTTTCTCTAGCACGTGCTTTCATTTACGAGGGATGGTGCTTACTATTTGCATGTAACTATAAAAGAGAGTGTAATGTTTCTATTTGGAGTTGGTCTTTGTTTATCATTCTCTCTTTTCTCTCAATAACTGTAATGTCCATACTTTTCGTTAGACATTTCGTGGATATATATCATCATTTACGTTGTCAAATTAATGTAATATGTATTATAAATAAATGAACAAATGAGAAATTTTATTGCATGTTATGTTTTTATGAAGTGTTCTTTGTATATAATATTGGATTTATGTTATACTTATAAATATTATAACGATATAATATTTGTATAAAAATATGGTTATATGCTAGACAATATCCGGTTGAAAGAAACCGAAGGGGTAGACCAGCACCCAGATATGTATAAAAATATGGTTATATGTTGATATGTATGGTATGTGGTATTTGGGGAAGCCAGTAAGTTTCGGTCTTATGGTTTTCTGTAACACCCAAAGTTTTGAAGGCCAAGAAAGGAAAGAAAAGCCCTAATTTTAAGGGTAGACTTGGCGAGTCCAAGGAGGGACTCGGTGAGTCCGAGCAGGATCCGGGTTGAAGAGTAAGCGACCGACTCGGCGAGTCTGGTCTGAACGAGGAAAACCCTAATCCCGAGAGTTGTATCCTATTTAAAGGGTGCTTTGTCCCTCCCTCAGCCCTCATATCACCCTAGAGAACCAGTACACCCTTGATTTCGTGTGAGCTTCCATCATTTGAGAGAAATAGCTTGGAGGAAGGAACTTTGGGAAAGGAACTTGAAGATCAAGAAGGTTGCTTTAAAGGAGGAGGTGTAGATCCGGGATCTACTTCAATGGTGTTCATCTTGGAGGTAACAAGCTGCTATTTTCCCTTCTTTGCACCTAGATCTATGTGTGTATTTAGGCATTCATGGCACAAGAGTAACCTTTCGAGCTAGGGGTTCAGATCTGAGGTTGCTACCTCAGATCCATGCTTATTTTGATCTAAAACCCCGTAAAGTATCAGCCCTTGAGTGGATCATGGAATCCCTTGGCCTTAAGCCCTAGTTTTTGGCATATTTTGCCTAGATCTCCTTCTCTACACGTAAAGTTTGCAACTTTACGTGAGGAATAGGCTTGGGAAGGGTAGATCTACAGTTTGGAGTCCATGCATGACTCAAAAGTCCTCTGCATGTAAGGAGAACTGAAGGGACTCGGCGAGTCCTTTGAGTGGACTAGGCGAGTAGCATGAAGTTGTGGAGAAACTCGACGAGTGGGATGAACAACTCGTCGAGTCGTATGAAGATTGCCTTGTACTCGGCGAGTCTGTTCTTGGACTCGGCGAGTCAGGTCGCGAAACCCCAAACCCTTCGAGTTGAGACTCGAATCAGTGAGTCGGGTGGAGACTCAGTGAGTTGGTCAGGTCAGGACTCAGAAATCGGTAGACTCGGCGAGTCGAGTCGCGAATGGAAGGAATCTGCTCATTTTGAACTCGGCGAGTCAGTAGGGTGACTCGGCGAGTAGGGTTGACCTGGAAGGTTGACTTTGACCAGGACTTTGACCTTGACCAGGGTTGACTCGGTTGTCTTTTGGGGGTCAGATAGACTCAGTGTTACATTGTTAGTGGTAGTTCGGGGAACAAGGGGAGCAGGAGTTCCGTGAGTTGTCGGGCAGTAGCTAGTGAGATCATCAGCAAGTTCAGCCAGTGCAGGTGAGTTTCCCTTTGTGTGAATGGGTCTAAGGCCACAATGCCGACCCATGTAGTTATGAGTAGAAGACCTGGGGGTTAGCCCTAGGCACAGTATGCTAGTATGATTTTCAGGACGAGGTTCAGTAATAGCGGGCGGGTGCCCAAGGATTTGTTTATATGATAATTTATACTTGTTGTGTGTGTGATACATGTATGTGCCTGGTAGGGAGGTGAGTGTGGGCGAGGTCCCGTATCTCACCAATAGCAGAGTGTGGATGGGGTTCCACATCTCAATAGTCGCATAACAGGGGCGAGGCCCAAGTTAGGGAATGAGTGAGGGTGGGTTGGGCCCGTATCTCACTACCACTAGGAGCGTGGACGAGGTTCCATGACTTATCAGTAGCAGTACATGGGCGAGGCCCAGGATAGGCGAGGCCTTTAGGACAGAACCAGTTGTATGTGTTTAGTTATGTGTTGTGATATGTTTATGTGATATTAATTGTTGGTGGGCGAGGCCCTATGTCAGGCGGGGCCTAAGTAAAACAGATCTGTATCCGAGCGAGGCTCGAAGCCAGGTGGGTCGTGGAGCGGCGGGGCCGTTGTAGCGAGCGAGGCCCGAGGTAGGTATGATCATATGGAAGGTAGTGTCTGTTTGGTATATATATATAGTATACTGTTTGGAAATCTCATTTCAAA